CCGTTTCACTTTTCTTTTCACCACTCTCGTTGCGACGCGGCTTTGTGGTTGTTTGCTTCGAAGTGACTATTGGTGAGTTGTTATGCCTTTTCGGCTTGCGCCATGTGATCTCGGGGATCCTGGCTGGGGGGATCCCTGGTTTCCGCATGGTGCTTTTGTTGCTTCACTCACCCTCTGGTATGGCCTGGTGGTTTGGGTATTTTTCCCTTTGTTTCTGCTGCCATACCATGACGAGATGATATAATGTTATCACCTCTTGCATTAATTAACCCATGAACTGGCACCTGTCACGTCGTCGTTTGGCTTGTTTGTTTTGTGTTGTTGCTTTTTGTGTTTTGTTTGTTTGGTTTTTGCTTTTGGTTTTGGTTTTGGTTTGTTTGTGGCGACTTCGTGACGGCCTACTGGACTGTGTACAGGTCCTTTACCAGTTCACTCTTGAGGCCCTCAATCTGCAGACGGCCATGTATATGCATTAATTAATAAATTAACCCTATTTTGCAACATGCAATTGAATGTGTTGAACGACCTGGCGGGAGCCATGAAGGCGTCGGACGGGAAAAAATCAACCATCATGCTGTTGGCTGGGTACAACTCTGCTTCGCAGCTGGAACGGGCAATCGATGCCTGGGTGAGGGACAAACTTGCCACCATTGCACCGTTCAAAAAGATCAAGCCGGAGCTCGTGGTGTCGAATGGTTGTTCTACAGTGGTTTGAGCAAAGGCATGGAGGGATCCCATGATGAGGCTGACACGACTTGCGGTTGAATGGGAAATGAATTGCGTGACCCAAAGGCCTACAAGAGAAAATCTAGGTGAAGATCATTCCACGACAGACTTCAATGAGGTTCATGTGGCATTGACCAATTTTCTTGGAGATGGTGCGTATTTGCCTTTTCAGATACTATGGACCTGCTTTGAACGAGACTGGTCATCAAGATGAAAACACTGGCAGTGGAGCACATGCAGGTGATGAGGAAGCTAGTGAGGATGATTGGTTGGAGCGAGAAGAGTCAGCTAAAGATTGACACACACGATATGCAAATTCTCAAATGGAAGAAGTCAGTGATCCTGAAGAATGGATGGAGATGCACTGCACTACCCAGAACCAGAAGATCTGGGAAACATGCGTGACCGATTGCGTGAGTGCTACAATTTCTGGATCAATATTAAGAGGCATTTGATCGTGGAGACCATGAACATGCAGAACATGGAACCAGAGACATGGAGCATCCAGATAACCTCATGACCGTGATATGAGTGGACTCTGAGGTGGCCAGCAACAACAGCTGAATTTATACGCACAGAGGCAAAAGCCAAAACTAAGAATGTGGTGAGCCTTCAAATGAACGCTCACCAAGGCGGAGTGTAAATGTGTAGTAGTCCGACTTTTTTTTTGTCCGAGCCCGTTGCCTTTCGGCGGGTCTACGGTCTTGAGTCTTACTCGCGGACCAGCGGGGAATCGAACCACTGGCAGTCTGTCAGCGACGTCAAGAACGCCGCGATACCAACTGAGCCACGAGGACGACTAATGTGTAGTAGTCCGACTAACCCTGTGCATGCATGTCCATAGCAGTTGGAACGACACAGAGAAGAATATGGCCACTTCCTGCATGACTAAGGATGACAGGCACAAATCGAGAACGCCGAAAACAGTGCAGAAGAGTAGAGGAAAAAGGAGCTGGTGAGCTCTGCATCCATCTTTGAGAGCTTCGTATTTTTTGGATTGAATCAAACAGACACTCTGCAACGCGGCTGGAGCTTAGGCATTGGCGTTTTGCTTGTTGCAGAGACCTGTATGGAGACCAGCCCCATTCCTTGAATCCTTGAGAATTTACTGAAAACCAGTTCTTTCTGTTTATTTTCGTCCGCACATGTTTCGTTTGCTGGGCTTTTGCTAGATGATGCAATGTTCATCACCTGCCGTAGCCTGGAAAGTACAGTACCCTTGTGCTCCTTGAGAAAGATGTGGCTGCGCACTTATTGCATGGTATCCTGCGGGAGGCAAGGCAGCAAGTCTGGCAGGGCGCGCGACAAACTTTGAAAAAAAAATTGGATGCGGTGGACTGTGACGACAAGCCTGCAAAGCCTATGTCTCGATGCTGTAAAGCTGATTTGCTCCAACTGTAATGGAAGTTTCGTTCCAGCGGCCGTGGATCGGTGGCTGGAGAATCGTATTGTGACAATATGGCTGGATTGCTGGTTCGTAAATATAGCCCACAAATGCCCCGATATATGAGCCTGGTGGAGGCAAATGTGGTAGAGATAAACAAGAGAAAAATTAGTTTCCCACGCAAGAGACCACAACGACCAATGCGCGCAAAACCGACCGGCCGATCAATCGCTGTTGCCACAATGTGGCTGAGTGCCACCAGGGTTGATGAAAATCATTTAGACAAACATGACTGGGATAAAAATCATTTTGATAACAGATATATAAGTTGGATAGAGATGAATTTGCTAGACATAAATCTGATAGAGATAATTTGAATGCATACAAATTTGACTGGGCAAAGTAGCAGGTATGGAAACAATCTTGATATCGACACACGTCTGATATCGAACCTTGTTTGGTGAACATTGCGATGGCAGAGGCGGGATGTGAAAAAAATGGTACTGTTGATAGCCAGTGAAAAACAATTGGTCAAAGCGTTGTGAAATGAAAAAACATTTTCCGGACTTTGCATGTTTTCTTGGTACAATTGACTATTTGTGCGTCAGCGAACCAATGATTTTTACAAAACCGATTGCGTCATTTCACATTTCATGGTTCTGTTGTGGGATGTTTTTGTGATCGCAACTTTGCCTTGGCACATTGCTGGTCTGGTTTTTCCCAAGTCCATTTTTTTTTGGTATTGATTCCTTGCTTGCTTTGTTCATTATTCTGTTTTTTTTGGCACAATATTTGGCTAACGTGCAAGTGCAGTTCAAGAAGGTACGGTATCGAAAAAATGATAGTAATAGGTTTCCTGTCTGGTCATGGAAACTTGTGTGCTGGATTCTATCCCTCATGGCAGACCAATGCCTGTTGTATTCGTTTCAATTTTTGTTTGCTCAACACTACGTGTGCTCTGGATGTTGTCGGTTGAGTTGGTTTTGATGTCTGGGTGTTCATGTTCAGGCAATATATGGGAACCAAAAAAAATTATTGAACTGTATTGTACATGTTTGGATTTTGATGATGATTGGATTTATTTGTGTTATTGTTTTTGAAGATGCACAGTGTTACTTCGTAGGATTCGAAAAACTCGAGATCCTCCCCTTTTTTGCGGGCGACAGTTGCGAAACCACCACCAAGTAAAACGTCCAATTTGTGTGGCCACAGCATTTTATTACAACAGTAATTTTGACAGACATTTACAAATGGATGATTTGCCATGGTTGTGTTTGCAAGCACAAAACATTGATTACATTGATTAATCCGTCAGTTTTGATTGTTTGGCATGATGCACAGCTAGCCGAACAACTAGCAACCATATTCTATTCATGTCTGCTTTAATCCGGCAATCCGGCAATGGGTTCAAGTCCGACCGAGCAAAAATGTCTGTGATTTAAGTTGGATTCGTTTGGATAAAATACTGCACATTGATCTATCGATGTATCCATTTTCTTGCAACCAAATTGTAAGTGGTAAAAAATAAATCACACCCAAATTTACCATGGTGTGTTCAATAGAAATCATGTCAAACTGGGGTTCATTGTTAGGTTCACCACACGGAACTGGTTTCGATTTGAGCTATGGCTGACGATGGACACGAAGGTCTAGAACATCACGTTCTCCATCAGGACGGGAAAAAACCTGGCACCGGAGTTTTGAAAATATAGATGGGGACATTCCCCATAAACCTGCATTAAAATAAAGACTTGACATGATTTGACCATCAACATGGTGAAAATCATAATTTCGGGGTCTGACGGTGCCGAGGCGGAAGCCCTGCAAAGTCTGCACGACGAGGTCGACGAATGTTTGGCTTCGTTGGAACTTTGGAGAGAACAGCGACAGAAGGTGAATTGTGGGGAATGGTGCCAAAACGTGCTTAGAACAAATTGCAGAGTTGTCTCTGATTGTGTCCATCAATGCCTCTAGGTCTTCATATCTTCATTCTGTTTCTTCATGCGCTGTCCGTGCCACACGTCATGTATTCTCTCCAACTGGCATTCGGAAATCACAAAGTGTATCTATATAATTCTATATATACTTCAGCTGCATGAAGCACACCATTATCCAACAAATATTCAGTGTGCTCAGTGTGCTTTGGACTAAAGTGGTTTCATCTCTGGCCACGCAGTTCACCTCGCAGGACTCGCAAGCTTTGGAACAAGAGCTTGAGAGGCACCATTTAGAGGACGAACTTTGGGATGTGGAGGAGACATGCCATTTTGCACATTTGCATCCATTTCCGTTCTTTTGTCTTTGCAAAAGGGGGAACCAAGGGGGTTGCTGCTAGTTCACTCCAACCTCATTTTTACTTACCGATATTTTAAAACATTTTTTGCCATATTTAGGAGCTTTCGGCATTCCGCCGGCCGCAAGGCTGTTTTTGGCTGAACCTGGTTGGTTGGTGCAGAAGGTGATTCAGGTAAAACCAGGTGTGAAGAAACATGCATTGATTCTCATGTCACCACCTGAAGGTTCCATTCACATGCCTCGCACCCGCGACATTTAGGGCCCTTGAGCCACCTCGCATCTGCGAAAAGTGGCGGCTGCGCCTCCGTTGCACATGGTAGCGGAGCCCAGGTGATGACCTGGGCATCCGCGAAGCGGCCTATTTGAGCTGGGGGGACGCCCCCAGACCAAGCTGGCGGAGAACATCTTCACCTTTGGTGACTTCACCTACGGATTTTGGTCCGGAAGCTTTTGTCCTTTGGGTTTGAGCACTACTTGGTTTTCTTTCTCTACTACCAGTTTAACTGGGAAGTTCTTCTATGGCATCTCAGCCTAGAACTTGGCGTCGAACTGGAGCTACATCAGCTGAACCTTCTACGGCATCCTCTCAGCCAAGGCCTATGGCAAGTTCACCTGCGCATGGACAAGATCCTCCTTTTGCAGAACAGAGACGTGATGATTTAGAGCCTCTTGAAAATGATCCCTGGGCGCGACCTGCGCAAGTTGGAACTCCGATGTCGCAGACACCTTTGGAGCCTAGGAGTGATGGGGGTCGAAAACATGTTGACTATCGTCTAGATCCTGCACCTAGTTGGGGAGGAGACAGTCCTGAAAAGCATTTCAAAGAGTACCATAGAAACCTTCAGTTGTGGTTGGTTGAAGCTGAAGCCCGGATTCCCCACAACTTGATTGGCAAAAGAATCATAGATAGCATTCCATTGGGTTCAAAGCTTTCAACCCTGCTTGCACACCTCACGGTGGACGAGATCACCGCTTCTGATGGGCACCAGGTGATCCTTTCGATCATTGAAGAAGCTCATGCATACCTCAAGGACCATCGACTTGAACAGGCCTTTGATGAGGCGATTTTCCGTGGACGCCGCGAACGTGGCCAAAGCATGACAGCGTTTTTGGCTTCGAAGAAGGCGTCATTTGCAGAGCTTCGCAAACAGGGGCTTGACTTGTTGTCAAATGCTGCTGGACGCCATCTTCTTGGACATTTGATCCTTCGGCAAGGTGGTTTTTCCAATGACCAGCGTCAACGGCTGAAGGTTGTGACCAACGGGTCAATTGACTACAAGGAGATAGATGGCGATCCAGAAAGTCTTTGGAGACCGTTTGGATGAGCAGAGCAGTTTTGATGGTGGCCCCACCCGAAGATGGCGAAGCGCCACCTACTGGGATGAGGGCTATGGAGATGATTGGAATGATGATGGCGAGGTTGAGACCTATGCCGAGATGGAGATGGCCGATGACGACCCTGACCTCTTTGAGGACCTTGTCTGCCTGAACGAGGAGAACGAAGTGCAAATGACGTTCCCCGAGGAGTTGCCGATGGTCATGGATGAGTCCGATGCTTTGGAAACTTTGGGCAACAACCTGGAGAACATCTTCTACGAGACCCGTGAACGTTTGAAAGGCAAGGGCAAGGGCAAATCAAAGAAGGGCAAAGGCAAGGGCTTTGCTAAGACCTTTGGCCAAGCGGCCTATCCAGGTTTTGGAGGTGGACGTGGAGGATGCTTGGAGCACAGACGCATGCTGCAAGCTTCACGAAATGCCAGAGGATATGATCGTCCATCATGGCAGTCAAGGGCAGGAACCAGAATGTCACTCCATGAGCTGAAGGCAAAAAGCCGTTGCCACCAATGCAAACAAGTTGGACATTGGTCCAAAGAATGTCCTCAACGTGGCAAACTCAGCTCTGGACCCAGGAGCACAGTGTCAGCTGGTGGAACATCCAATTCATCTATGTCCACAGGCTTTTTCGTGGAACCACCACGGTCCATGGCCAGTTTTAGCGGCGAACGATACTTTTCTGGAGCTGCGAAATATGTGGAGCGGCCGTTTTCAGGGCTGAGTTTTGTTTTTCTGGGTGTCAACAAATCCACTGGTACAGCACTAGTCGACACTGCTGCACAACATGGTTTGGTTGGTTTGGAAACTTTGGAAGCTCATGACCAGTTTTTGCATGAACATTTTGGTTTGCGAGTTCAATGGTCACATGAAGCAGGGGGTTCAGTGCGTGGAGTTTGTGGTGCTGAAGAAACAACTAGGATAGCCTATGTTCCAATTGGTCTTGGTGGCAAGAGCGGAGTTTTACGAGTTCAGGTTGTTCCAGGTGATATTCCATTTTTACTCCCAGCATACTTCTTGACAGAACTTGAGGCAGTGATTGACATGAAACATGGCACCATCATGTACATGGCCTTGGGTGTGAAGCAAGACATGAACCGTTTGAGCACAGGGCATGTTTCAGTGAGCATCGTGGAGTTTGGAGATGGATTTCATGTACCTGCAACTTTTTGTGGCACAAGAAGCAAGGCGTGGTCAACAAAGGCCGTGCCTGATTGGTCCCAACTGTCGACCTCACATGCTCCCGGCTCGGTTGCAATGGGGCCGGTGGCGGCGCTTGTTGCTGCGGTTCTTCACCTCCACTTTCCTTCGCAGCTGGCAGATCTTCATGGAAGTTGTTCGTACCCCACAACTACGGGAAGCTCGAAGATTGCAGACGAGGCGAGAACAACTGGAGAAGCAGATCTACGATTTGCAGCAGCAGGAGCAGAAGATGGTGGCAACTGCAGCGGCTACAAGCTCAATGTCAACACCTGGCCAGTTGAACATTGCCCGACGGGAAGAACGACAGCAACCGCTGGCATGCATCATGGGCAGAGGCAAATACCTAGTGCCTCAATTGGAAGCTTCACCGCAGTGTCCACACTCAAAGACCACACATGGCGCCAACCGCATGATGAGCTACCAGAGATGCTTGGATTGCCAACAAGAGCAACAGATGCCTCTGACCCCTTTGAAAGACCTGCAGCACTGGAACCACAACCTGGCCTTCCTGCAGACCGACTTCCTCAAGCGGATGGTCAACTTAGAGCTGGAGAAGAAGAAGCAGGAAGCCACCGGGTCTTTGGGAGCACAGCCCAAAGGCCTAGCCAAGGCTCAACCAAAGTCTGTAGCCAAGGCGACAGCTGTCAAGAGCCGAGCGCAACCAGTGCCAACCTTGATAGAACCGAAAGACGAGGAGGAAGAGACCTTCCTGAACAATGCAGTCTTCATCGGGGACGAGGAGGACATGGTGATGGAGCAGTACACCAATCCACCACCGCAGCAACCTTGCAGTCGATGTCAACGAGGCCTGGTGAGTCTCATGCGGGACACAGCCAATCAACAGTTGGTGTGGAATTGCAACAATCCAGCATGTGCGTTTTGTTGCCCGGATGTGAACGATATCCTGGAACCAGCACAGGGTGTTTTCCTGTGTCCACAATGCCAAGCGGCGGAGCTGTTGCCGATCAGTGTGGGCGATCAGCCGGACGAGACCCAGCTTCAGTGCTGCAATTGCGGGCAAGCGATCTACATGTTCGAGATGGCTCTGGTGTACTCCAGACTGGGCAGATTCCAGGAGGAGAAGCTCGGTTGGGCTATTGGATGAAAGATGGAAACCCACACCTTGAGACTGACGAGAACCTGGGCCTGAACAAGTCCTACGACCAGATCATTGAGGCCTTGGACGTGGACCCTTTGACGACCTATGTAGCCATCGGATATGGTGATTTTGTCAAAGGTCTCACGTCAGTTGTGACTATGCCTGTGATTAGCCGTCGGATCATTTTGACCAAGAACGGCGATGGTTTCTGGTGTGCAGTCAACGTGTCCAACATCCCTGGCAATGACTACCAGTTTGGCTCGACAGTGCACTACATGGTCTTCTATGAGTTCACCCCGGAGTTTGTCAGCTACATGGTGGATGTGGAGTTTGAGAATGAAACGACTTTGAGCAGAACAACCAAGACAGAACTATCCAACAGCCTTGACAATGCCTTGGGTGACCTCTCAGTGTACTGGACGCTGTGGGAAAACTCTGATGAACCACATGATGTTGTCGAGATCTTTGGCAACCTCCCACAAGAGCGCAACGCCATTGCAGAGCTCTACAGCCCTCCAAGAGTTGTGGAAGCTGCCATTGCCAGAGGACTTGTGGCTGACCTGTCCATCGACCTCAGCACTGGATACGACCTCAGCCTGCCTGCCGAGAAAGAGAGGGCAAGAGAGCAAATTCGAAAGCGCAAACCGCGCTTGTTGGTCACTTCACCGCCCTGCACCAAGTTCTCACCACTTCAGAACATCAGGAAGTATCCAGAACTTCTTCAAGAAGAACTTGGACCTGCGATTGACCACATGGACTTCTCCATGGAGATGCAGGAAGAGCAGTTGAGCCGTGGTGACCTAGGTCTACATGAGCATCCTGACTTGGCAACCTCATGGGAATTGCCAAAAGTTCAACAGTTTTTGTCGCATGAGGAGGTGCTCCTGATCAAGTCACATTTGTGTCGTTTTGGTTTGATCATCAATGGGAAGCTGAGCAGGAAATCAACTTTGTTTGCCACAACATGTGATGCCATAGCTGCCAATTTGCAGCGACTTTGCAACTGCGTGGATGGGCATCAGCAGCTCATCAATGGTCTTCCGCATCAAGCTCAGACTTACCCACCTGCGTTGGTCAAAGCAATTGTTGATGGTTTGATTCAAGATTGGGTTGATCAACAACAGGGGCGGCCAACCAGATTGCCTGACCATGGGGATCTCTGTCAGTGGATAGATGAACTTTTTCCAGAGCAACACCACCACTGGCGGCATTTCCATGGATCAGCAATCCTTACGGTTCGCCGACCTCAACATGTTCCAGTTTGTGGCCCGGGACACCGGACAGTGCGTTGGACTTGGGTTTTGAATCCCATTGATGGCAAGTGGCTCCAGCTTGAACAAGCTCGAACTGGCAAACCCAAGAAGCTGGAGATCAAGTATGAGTACATGATCGTGCTCTACCACCATCCTGAGATCTTCATGACACTTGCTGAAGGATCCAGCGTGAGCATGTCCGAGAAGAACATGGTGCTTAGAGCACATGTGAATTTGGGCCACCCATCAGTCAAAGAATTTGTACGTTTGCTGAAAGCTGCGGGCACTCGGAACGACATCATCACCTATGTCCTCCGAGAGTTCCACTGTGAAGGATGTTTGAAGGAGCGCAAACAACCAACTCGTTTGCCCTCAGCCACACCACGCACCTACGACTTCAACGTTGTGGTGGGCGTGGATTTGCTGTTTGTCTATGGTCACAACGACAAAGATGAACACCCCATCCTCAATGTGACGTGCATGGGAACGCTCTACAGCACCTTCACTATGGTGGATGCCCATCGCAGAGGAGCAGCTTTGGTTTGGTCTTCTTTCCTGAAATGCTGGCTGCGAACGTTTGGAAGCCCAAGCTTTCTGATCATGGACCAGGGCCTTGAGTTTCAAGGCAACTTCATTGATGGACTTGGGAGCCACGGGATACAACCAATTTTGATTGATAGGGATGCACCTTTTCAGAACGGCGTCACTGAGCGTCGAGGTGGTCTTTTCAAAGAGGTGTACTACAAAACCCGTGAGCTTCATCAACCTGCAAACCTTCAAGAAGTACAAGACATGGTCCATGAAGTGTCATGGGCATTGCAGACCATGACAAACCGCAGTGGCTACTCACCAGCCCAGCGAGTGTTTGGCAAACAGCCCAGCATAGCCATGGAGATCTTGAATGACTCTGGTGAATACACCTTCTCCAACACCAACGATGAGGCCTGGAAACGCTCTGAACAGATACGTCAAGCAGCTCGCAAAGCACTGGTTGAAATCGATGGTCGAGAGCGACTTCAACGAGCTGCCAGAGCAAGACCCAGAAGAGCCCTTGAGAACTTGCAGTTTGAAGAAAGCGAACCTGTCAACGTGTGGAGACAGGGCAAGAGGGCAAGCCAAGCGAAAGTTGGACCTTGCTTTGTCGTCTTGCAGAAGGGCGACACCGTTTGGGTCACCAGGCGAGGTGAGTTGTGGAAGTGCCACAAAAGCCAGGTCTTCAAGATGGGCAACTTGGAAAAACAAGGGCTTGAAGCCATCCCCTTGGAGCTCCTCCGTGCCAAGGAGAAACCACGTTTTCATCCAGAAAAACTTGGCTATGTCGACGTGGAGAGCGAGGGTGAGCCCAGACTTCCTTCAGTGCAAGACCTACCACCACAAGCACAGCAGCTGCAGCCTCAGCGACAGAAGACCAACAACGATGACATACACCGGAGGGCTCCTCAAACACCCAGAGGACCCCCCGAAGGATTGAGAACACCCAATCCAAAGACACCACGAACATCACAAACACAACCAACTACACCTGTGATGCAACCTTCTCAACTACCACAACCTACAACACCGGCCATTCACAGAGCAATGCCAGTGACACCACTTCCAGCAACAATCATACCAGTCCCAGAATCACCACCACAGAGCAGATCACAATCACCAGCACCTGCACAACCAACACAAGAACCAACAACAACAACCACAACTGAAACTACCACACTTGACAAACATACACAATACAGGACCGACAAGACCAACAGGTCAAGATCACCACCTGGCAGAGAGCAAGTGACAACAAGCACAGCATCACCAAGCACAGCCAAGCCAACAGCAAAGCAGAACATTGCACCACAACCAGCAACACAATCACAACAGACACCACCTGCAACAGAAGCAGATGAGCTCTGGAGGGCAACTGTTGAAAATGAACGAGCTCGAAGCAGTACAACGCCTGCAACACAACAACAACCAGATGAACCACCACCACTACGATGTTGGCGACGCTATGACTTAGCAGCCAAGAGGTATCGTGCCTCCAACTCCAAAGGACCTCTTTGGGGAGATGTGACTCGACACATCACCATTGACCTCGATGCCTCCATTGTCATCCAGGACAAGATCATCACTGACAACCTGACGGTGCACAACCTTCATGAACGACTTCCAGTTGGGGTGGACAACATTGAAACCATCCTGGTGTACCGGCAGATTCCTGGACATCCTGATCCTGGCGAACCATTTAATGATCGAGTTCTACAAGGTGCACGACCTCTTCTACCAGATCAACTTCCTGAAGAAGATGCACGTTTGGTGGACGCTGGCATGAAGCGTGGACTTGAAGATCCAACACCGAATGAACGAGTCACCAACAAGTCCAAGATCTTTGGCATGTGGCGAGCTGATGATCTGACTGAATGGGGCGACAAGAAGATCCACCCAGTGATTGCCAACCAGCGTGACCTGCAGAACTTCAAGAAGCTGGACAAGAACGACATCTACTACGAGATGAACAAGAAGTTGCAAGATGATATCACTTCTTTGGCCTATTTGACCAAGCAGAGTGGCAAGGAGCTGAACGAGAAGAAGCTGACCGAAGCAGAGTTGAAACTGTTTCGAGAAGCCAAGCTGCTCGAGATCAACAACCTGATCAACTCCAATGCCATCGAGATTGTCCTCAACGAGAAGGAGCTGGCCGAGATCAAGGAGCACAAGGCGCACAGGATCATGCCATCCCGCTTCATCCTCACGAAGAAGGCTGGCGAAGTTGGAGAAAGTTGGAAGGCAAAGGCAAGATGGATTCTCTTGGGACATAAAGACCCAGATGCAATGTCCCTGGAGCGCTATGCTCCAACACCATCTTCAACGACTGTGATGATGTGCCTCCAGATCATTGCAACCATGAAGTTCCACCTGTACATCATGGACGTTAGCTCAGCATTTGGTCAGTCTGACCCTCATGAACGTGAACAAGGACCATTGTTTGCATCAATGCCACCAACAGGCATTCCAAATGTACCACAACATGCTTTGGTGAGGGTGTTGACAGCAGTTTATGGGCTTGTCAACGCACCTGCAATTTGGAGGAAGACGGTGAGAAGACACCTGATTGAATTGGGCTACTTGGAGTCTGTTTTCGACCCATGCCTCTACTACCTCAAGCCCGACGAGACCGAGATGGCTGAGTTCGGCAAGTTTGGCGTGGCAGGGATTGTTCTTTTGGATGTGGATGATTTTTGCCAAGGTGGAGGTGAGCGGCATGAATCGCTCATGGGTGAGCTGAGACAGCGACTCAAGTTCGGCAAGTGGCGAGATGTCTATGGTAACTCAGCTGAGTACATTGGCAGGACCCTGAAACAACTGCCAAGCTATGAGATCCAAGTGAGCATGAAGAGGTACATAGAAGAGAAGTTGCGACCAGTGACTTTGAGCAAAGAGCGTGCAAAGGAGAAAACATCACCTTTGACGGAGCAGGAGACCACATGGCTTCGTGGAGTTGGTGGATCTTTGCTATGGGTTGGAAAAGAAGGGCGACCAGATGTTGGCGCAGCTTGCGCTATGGCTATGTCATGGAGCACCGGCGGACCGACTGTCGACCACATTCACATGGCCAACAAGACGGTAGATGAGCTGAAGCAGACGGCAGACGTGGTCATCCGCGTGATCCCGATAACTGCGAGCGATGGTATCTGGATGAGCGTGGCCGATGCTTCGATGGCGAACGCCGACAGCAGCAAGAGCCAAGGCGGCTACATCATTGCGTTTGCCGAGGCGAAGATCATGGCTGGACAACGTGCTGCCTTCAGCATCAATAGCTGGAGGTCGCACAAGCTGAAGAGAGTTGTGAAAGCAACTTTGGGATCTGAGGCACTTGCAATGGATGATGCGTTGGCGGAGATCGAATGGGTTTCGAGCTCTATGGCATGAAATGATGAATCCAGCGACCAATGTGCTGGATGGAAGCAGATTGGGCGACCAGCAATCAGTGCTTGTGTTGCGACAGCCCAATGAAGATGATGAGACAGTAAGAAGCATCCGAATCAGCGACACAGATTCAGGTGCACATGTGACTGACGCGAAAGCTCTCTATGACCTCCTCCATCGACGAAGTGGCAATGCTGGACAAGATCGGCGTGCCCAGATTGATGTAGCAGTGATTTTCATTTCTGCAAAGGCACTAGGAATCACAGCATTCTGGGTGCCTGGAGCAGTGATGATTGCTGACCCATTGACGAAGCGCTTGGGTAACAGCAGTCTTTTGAGGCAAGTGATGAAGGACGCAACATACATGCTGTCCAAAGAAAATTCAGATGGTGACCTGAAGGGACCCCCCGAAGGATGTGAAGAAACATGCATTGATTCTCATGTCACCACCTGAAGGTTCCATTCACATGCCTCGCACCCGCGACATTTAGGGCCCTTGAGCCACCTCGCATCTGCGAAAAGTGGCGGCTGCGCCTCCGTTGCGCACCAGATTTGGGTAGAAACTGGTTTGTGTAAAAACTGGTCGGTGTAAGTGCGGGTTAGTGTAAAAATGGTAAAAGATGATGTGTCTAAAAGCAAGTTTGTGTGAAAGTTGGTTTTGGTTTGTGTAAAAACTGATTGGTGCAAAAGTTGGTCTCTGCATGTTTCTGCAAAGAGTGGTTGGTGTAAATGACAAAAACCAGCCGACAGGCAAGGATTGGTTGTTGGTTGCGAACGTAGTGAGTATTAGGGGGTCTGGGGGGTAGCTGCCGCTATTGCAAGAAAAATGTGGAAATTCAATTGATTTATGCAGGAAACAAGGGTTTTGCTAGTAGATGAACTCAGGCTGAACCTGAACGGTTGATATGGTCAGGTGGGCTTCGCTTGGAAGATGCTTGAGCATTCTTGTTGGACTTTTTGGGTCAAGCTTCTGATGGATAAACAGCTTCAGTGTTGGGTAGAGGGGCCTTTTGGTCCACAAACTATGGGGCTGCGCAAGAGGGGTTTGTTACTGGACGAATCCACGCTAAACCTCAACGGCTGGTGGGCCTGGTAGGCTTCGCATTGACGAAGAGGTGCTGTGTGGCAGCTGCAGGCAGAGAAGGAACCAAAGGGTTTGCTCTGATGAACCTCAACGGCTGCTATGGTTCGTCGGGCTTGGCACTGAAGATGGCTAAGCCACAAATTGACATTGTTCGACTACTGACATGGTCCGGTGGGCTTTGCATTGAAGATGCTTGAGCCTTTTGATGGATCTTATCCCTGGGTCTTGCTGTGAAGCTTCTGGTGGATAAAACGCTTAAGTGCTGGCTAGAGGAGCTGTGAGGAGCGCAGGATGCGCGAAAATTGTATGCTACATGCTAGTTGGTTAGATCAACCCAACGGCTGATATGGTCTGTTGGGCTTGGGAGAAGATGGCCAAACCACATGCGAGCACAGTGGGGTCTAGGGTGTCCCGCTGCAGATGCGAGGGGGTGAGAGACCTATTCAAGTCGTTTGCTGCGTGCTCGATACACCGACCCACCCCCTATCACCCCTGGTCCGCCCCCCCTGGTCCGCAAACTGGGCTGGTCTGCCCCTCCGGCCTGCAAACTGTGGGGCTAAGCAGTAAAGGTGGATTAAAGCAGTTAACAAACTGTGTTGGCTGGAGGGGATGTGACAGGGGTGGAGCAATGTCATGTATGGAGCAGACGTGCGTGCTTTCTGGAAGCTACAGGCAGAGAAGGAACCAAAGGACTCGCGAAAGTCGTGTGCTATAGTGCTAGCTGGTTTTGCCAGTGGGCCCATTGGGCTTGGCTATACTGTGAGGTATAGATACAGAAAGGTTTTAGGTATTAGATGGACTTGCTAAAGTCGTTTACTATAGTAGAATGTTGAAATTTGTTGAAGGTCAACGGGTTTTGGGGCACGTCATACTTGAACTTTTGATGGATCTTATCCTTGGGTCTTGTTGGATTTGGGTGAAGCTTGTGGTGGACAAAGCACTTCATGAGGTGTGTTGCCTAGAGGGGCTGTGGGGGGTTTAAGCGATGTCATGTATGGAGCAGACGTCCTGTCTTGAAGCTAGAGGCAAAGAACTGAACTTTAAATGGATTTTATGCTTGGGTCTTGTTGGGTTTGGGTGAGCTTGTGATGAATAAAGCACTTCACGAAGTGTGTGAGCTAGAGGAGATGTGACAAAGGTGGAACAATGTCATGTATGGAACTCCGCACATTCAACCCTCGCTGGCTTTCGTTCCCGCCCTCCCAGGTGAGTGTTTGTGTAAAAATTGTGAAAATGAACATGGTGAGGACGACGCCCTGGAGATGAAGATGTAAAGAGACTCTACGAGGTGACATTGTATTGAACCACATTATATTAGTTGGTAGATCCGAGCGGCAGGGCTGTGAGAGTGCATGCGGAGAAGGCCCTGAGTGCAGAGGAGGAGCCGGAGCTGCAGGTGCTTATGGAATGTGTTGGCCGAGATAATTGGATGAAAGAGGATGAAGGAAGAGAACGGAAGAAGAAAAGGAGGAGGATGATGATGACGAAGATGATGATGATGATGATGATGAACTCTCTCATGATGAAGTCATGATAGATTTTTATGTGAGGGATTCATGTTCACACGAACATTCAGTGAGTGCTGCGGTGGTTGTTCCCTGTTGTGCATGCAAACATGTCGTTACAGATTTCATGGTTGCATTTTGGTTCCAAGTCACAAGTGTGACGATTATCGGCAAGTGCCGTAACGTGAACTTCATGAGTTGACATGTCATTTTACAGACAATTTATTTGTCACAAATGCATGTTCTCAATATCATCAACTCAAAGTTAGTTTGGAAGTTCACCTTCAATTTAAAATGAAATCAATTTCATATCAAATTTTTCGTTGCACCCGGCCGCATCTGATGCGATTTCGCTCGGCCGAGCTGAAGGGACGCAAAGCCTTCACTTCGTGTGTGCACCTTCGTCCAGTTCCAGTTGCTTCAAGCTCTACCTTCTGGTTTTTCACTGGATTTTGCAGCGGCGTACTCAGTGGGATCCTCCTTTGCTTGTGGCTTATATCAGAATGACGATGGTCATGCTCCCCGCCGATCAGTTCACAATGAGAGCTTATACCTCTCGGGAACCTGAAGACCCGGAGTACACCGTCGATTCACTGTTGCCTTTCCTAGGCTTAGGACAGACAGAATGTGATTTGAATCACTACGTACTGCCGATGCAAACATCGGTCCAAATGTACGTGTGTCCGGCCTTGGAGTCGGCGGAAGCCCGCTGGATCCCTTGGGACACGACGTTAGCCGACAATTTCAGGCTTCATATGCTGGTGTGTGACCGCGAGCTCTTTTTGTCTATGAGACACTTTGCCAGCAACCGGAACTACCTCATCAACCTCGGAGGAGGACACCCAGCAGATCGCATTCTCACCTACGTGGAAGTCCATTGCCTGCCACCGACTGAAACAGTCGAAGTGCTTGGCCGAATGCATCGCACCCTCCGCAGACTTCGAGATGATGTCTCGTGTCTCGGTACTTCAAACCGAGGTGCGCATGTTGCGCCGTACTTTCGGCCAGGCCCTGGAGAATCTTCGTAGTTGGCCCCATTGATCGGCTTGGTGGCCCCTCCACATGTCCAAGGTGACCCACATGAAGCTGCCGACGCCACTGATCGTGCCGATTGACATCATCGTCCACCGGCCCATAGAGTTTTTGACACTTTCAATTTGGGTATCATACCCGCTACAGCCACAGAGCTTTTGGGCATTGCCTGCTCGGATGTGTGAAAAATTCTCCAGTTTTCTGTCTCGGGGGTTCAGCGCACTGGTAGAGAGTCCACACAAAGGTAATCCACATCAACATGTCATGAGATCAATCTTTCACATTTCACAGGAATGTTGGCAGAGCAGAGTGGAGTCGAGTGACCCGCACGTTGAGTTGTGCCACATTGGTCATATTCATGAAGGCTCAAGTGAGCGAAGTTTTGTTCAGAGGGGCGAAGGATCACGTGGCGCCTTGTGAGTCCGATCCTTTGCATCCAGCTGTCATGTGACAGTGGGTTTTCTTATGGAGAAGTGTCCATAACATGACATGTTGCAGTGTCAAGTCTGTTATCAAGCGGTCGAGTGACGCTCCAAGGTAATAGGTGTAGAAGTCCACAAGTCTCCAACTCAGAATTGTGCTGACTCCTGAACGGCTTGTATAGTGGGCAATGAATACACGAATGTCCCATGTTCTGACATAATACAGAGAGTTTGTCGGTATCATCAGGTCGTGAATCGAGACCCTCCGATTGACAGGTGGGGTCATGAGTTGCAAGTGCAACTTGAAATGAAACCTTTGGTATTCATCTCGATGATGAGAGGTATGCAAGTGCGACCTGTAATTCAGACTCAAGTGAGTTATTTTGGGGTCCTTTGGCCGAAGTGGCACGAGGCGTGACGGACCTTCACCGACGGTTCATCACTCAGATTCATTTCGGCAATTCAGAGACGTCTTATGTGCAAGATTTGTCAGACGATGTTAGGGGGATGTAGTACGGCTGTTAAAGTGAAATGCAGTACATCATTGGCATTAAGATCGCTGTTTGGTTGAATGCCCTTTCCAGGTGCGACTTGACGGCGGGCCGTGTGACCCTGGATGCACAGGCCCCCATGAGCATCCGAGCATCCGGCCTGTAGGAAGAATGCGAAGGGGGCTGAAACGCCCCAATGAATCGGACGACCGATCCGAATCAGCATCCGTCAATTCTCAAACTGTACAGCCTGAGGGTCTCGATGCATCCGAAGTAGTTGACGTAACAGAGTCAGATGTAGGAAGTCTTTTTGGACATGAGGGGGATAGCCCACAATGGGATGGTTACCAAGAGTTTCCCCCGCAATCAGTGATGCCATCCAATCAGAAAACATCTTCCCTTGATGATGCCAGTGTTAAGAACTTGAGATCAATGGTAACGGATTCATGTCTTAGGACCCCGCCTACGT